GAGAAAACATTTATTAAAAAGTCTATTCAAATAAGTAGAACGTGTTGTCTATATTTATTTAAAGTTGCGCATTTTCACGTGACGTCACATTTCTCACCCCCCCTCCCCCCTAGTCACACATCGTCAGAAATGTCTGACTACCCCCCCTCCAGGTGCGTGACGTCATTTATGGACGGCCCCTTAAGATGTGTAGCCCATCGTCAGATTACACTCAAGCGCCGTGCGGATCAAAGGGGCGGTTGTATGGCCGTACTTCGCCGTCGATCGCAAACGAGACCTAAGACCGGTCAAGATATCACGCGCCACGGATGACGGTCGTGGACAGATCGCAAAGTCACGTTCGCTGGTGGCGCTGCGTCACCACTCATCCCACCACTCTCAACCTACTTGCAGCTCTAATCATCGTCACCATCAGCCACGGGTCAGTCAGCCGCCATATCACAACCCGACGAGGTGATAACCCCACCACGGCGCTTGTGCCAGGCTGTGTGCACGTTACGGCCGCGTGAAGTGTCGGACGCCCGCCAGCAGGAAAGAGGTCACGGGACAGACCCAGCAGGTGCCACGGGTCGACTGACTGAGATGACCGGCCGATGTACCGCCTGTGCCCCCTACTGTGCCAACTTGCTGCGTTTTATCCGCCCGGCGCTCCGCTCGTTGTTGTGTAACAACCCCACGGAGCCCTGCACACTAACACACCGGCCGTTGCAGTGCTGACATTAAAACTTTATTTCTCGAACATTTTTTTTTTTTACCAATTTGAATTTCCGTACCAGCAACCGATCCGCCGTAATGTCCAACGTCGCATGGACGTCTCGGATTTACTTTCGGCTTCAAACTTTAATTCTTAATACGAGTCGAGCGCAAACTTACCTCCTGTTAGAATCACGGGGGCCTACAGACTTCCAACTGTCCAGATCAGAATGAAGTTGCCACCCCCCCCCCCAATCTCACCTCATCTCAGCTGGGAGTTTAAGAAAAGGGGATTGTTTTGTTATTTGTAAAGGTGCAGCCCTGCAAATGCTCGGCTCGCTCTCACTGCCGGCAGAAAGGCTCTCAACGCGAGCGAATACGGGTCCATGTCAAAAATCGCGCGTCTTCATGATCCGGATAATTCGACACATGTTCTGGTAGTGGCGGTGGTGGTGGTGATGATAACAATTCAAATTTATAATGCGAATGCCATCATAGGAAACATCCCCCCCCCCCCCGCCCAAAAAAATAGTTTTAGTGCTGCTGCTGCTGCTGCTTCTGCCGCTGCGTTGGCAGTGGCACGATAGCACAAATAACAACGACGTCAAACGTCAACAACAACACAACACTGCGTGTGTGTGGGGGGGGGGGGGTGCTTAAAATGCAAAAAAATAATATACAATAGGTGACGTTTCGGGAAATGACCCTTCTTCATCGCTATTGAAAAAAAGGTGAATTGCCCGAAACGTCGCGAATTCTAGATATTGCTGCTAAGGCCACACACACACGCGCGCGCAATGTTATTGACGAACGTGTGGAGTAGCTTTTTTTTCTTCCGTAACTAGAGAAAGTAGAACTTGAACCGAATCAAATTTATGGGGGTAAGAGTTGGTGGGGGAAGGGGGGCCGGGGGAGGAGGGGCTGGTGGGGAGCGAGGGGATGGGGGGCGAGGGGATGGGGGAACGAGGGGATAGGGGAACGAGGTGGGGGGGTGGTGGGGGGGGGGTTCCTATTCAAAACGCGACCGTGTTGATAGCAACAGTTTCCCAAAAACAATGAAAACCGAAGAGGATATCGACATCCCCAAGGAATTATCCTTAAAAATAAACCCGTCAGCTGTGATGCATCACTGCAGTGGACGCCTTCCATTCATCCCATTGGGGGATACCTGGTGTTGGGTCCCACGTGCTACAGAAACGTTACGGGGGCTTGTTAGGCAAAGGCGCAGCCCTGCAATTGCGTTGCTCCCTCGCCGCTGCCGGCAGAAGGACCTCCACTGCAGGCGAGCTCCGGAGAAACCTCCGGTTGGCGCGGACGGCTTCGTACGGTGCGAAAGAAGTTCAACATCCACGCGGGGAGGATTCTCTAGAGCGGGGTTGGCGAACGTCCGGCCAGCGGGCCGTACAAGGCCCACGAAATCATTTGGTCTCTGGCCCTGCCGAGGCAACCGCAGGCGGGATTCGAAATTCAATAAATCTAGGAGCAAACCTGGAAAAGCAGTTGCGAGTAGCAGCAACATCATCATCAATACCAGCTAACAACATCACACGCCTCGCCAGAGAGAAGCAGTTCCAGCCCATCGCATTAGGGGTGAGTTAATTAAGCGTTTGACCAAATAAAACGGGCTAATTTGATAATTTTGTATGGCCCGCAAATGATGTCATAAATATCCACATGGCCCTTGGTAGAAAAAATAGGTTCCTCACCCCGAGAGCAAGTCCCCCTTCGCTCAGTTGTAAGAGAAGGGGTCAATTTCTGACGATATTTGAAGCCATTGTTGAGGTTTGACGGCACGGTGGTGATGATGGGGGGGGGGGGTGTTGTCACTGTTTGTGTATCATGGGGGGCCGCACGCTAAGGGGGCCGCCAGTGGCACATGGGGCCTTACACTCCAGAGGGTATTTGGCCTACTCTTCCAAGTCTTGGAAGAGGTTTTCCGTGAACCCGTTTACATTGCTGGGTGGACGGGGGTAGCGGAGATGGGACGGGATTTGAATAGAATGTTGTCCCCTTGCTACAGCTGCCACGAGACGGGAGATGGAGTCTAACCGGAGCCCTGGTCTAACGTGCGAAACATCCTACGGCTTCACCATTGGAACCTCATTTGCCAGTAAAAAATATGATAATTGTTTTTTTACCCTTCTATCTGGCAACAAAACTGACACCTTTTTTACAAGGAGTCATGTTTGCATAGACCACAATACCTGTAGCCATAATGCAAACAAAAAACATAACTCTGATAATATATGCACTGTCCTTGAACTTGATTGGTCCACACCCGAGACAGCGTGGACCAATCAACTTCAAGGACATTATCAGAGCAATTTCTCAGAAGTGTTCACATTTTTGTTTCAAGCACGCCCTGTATTTACACTGGAGGAATCCGATGATCTCAAAAGCTCTTTTTTCACAGATACATGTGAGCAGTCCCAATTCCGTTAGAACTATCCGTCGACCTTGAGCATGCCCGAGACGCTCAAGACGTGGAAGGGTGACTGTTTGTTCGTTGAACTATTCCCGAAATTCAGGAATCCAACCAAGAAATATATTATACTGGTAGGAACCTCCTGGTTACACCAGCCCACAGGGGATTATTGTGTCCGTCCGTCCGTCGTGCAGGGAGGAGCTGGGTGGGGAGGGAGGGGAGGGTGGGGAGGGGCTGGGTGGGGAGGGTGGGGATGGGTGGGGAGGGGAGGGAGGGGCTGGGTGGGGAGGGGAGGGTGGGGAGGGTGGGGAGGGGCTGAGTGGAGATGGGAGGGTGGGGAGGGGCTGGGTGGGGAGGGGAGGGTGGGGTGGGGCTGGGTGGGGAGGGGCTGGTCACCCCGTGGTGCCCTTATAAAACTCAACGTTTAACCTACTCACGCCGGCTTGTGCCCGCCCTCACAGTCGGGCATATTTGCGGAATACACCACGCCGCCGTTGACCCTGGCCATTGACCGAGCAACCCAACGTTCCTACCAGCACCTACGCAGGAATATGTTAAAAGTGGGGGGGGGTGGAGTGAGGGGGGGGGGCTCATTAAGCTGATTGTGGGGGAGGGGGGGGGGCATCTCGTGTGCCAAGCGAAGCTTCCAGGAGGTTTAATGAGAGCAGCCGCAGCAGACGACGAGGGTGCACCAGGTGGTTGTTGGGTGATCAACGTTGTAACCGGAACACCCTGGAGCCGTCGTGCACCCTCTCGGCTGAAAGACGACACTGATCGTCACGGGGGGGGGTGGTGGGGGGGGGCTCCCACCACCCCCCACCACCCCCCACCACCCCACGCTGCTTACGCTGCTCGTTAAATACGCGTTCTGTAACACGAGCGGCGGTGGTGGTGGTGGTTTTGGTGGTTGGTGGTGGTGGTGGTTTTGGTGGTGGTGGTTTTGGTGGTTGGTGGTGGTGGTTTTCCTGGTTGGTGGTGGTGGTTTTGGTGGTTGGTGGTGGTGGTTTTCCTGGTTGGTGGTGGTGGTTTTGGTGGTTGGTGGTGGTGGTTTTCCTGGTTGGTGGTGGTGGTTTTGGTGGTTGGTGGTGGTGGTTTTCCTGGTTGGTGGTGGTGGTTTTGGTGGTTGGTGGTGGTGGTTTTCCTGGTTGGTGGTGGTGGTGGTGGCTGACGGTGGCTCGACGTACGGCGCTCCAAATCGTCTCGGCCTAGAATCCAGCGCCTTCAAATTGACAACAACAATAACAACAACAATAACAACAACAATAACAACAACAATAACAACAACAATAAGCCGCAACGTGTAACAGCCGTCGTCGTGTTATAAGCCGTGCGTGCGAGCGTGCGCGTGTGTGTGTGTGGTGTGTGTCTGGTTGTGTACGCACGCTGCGTGTGTGTGGTGTGTGTGGTTGTGTACGTACGCTGTGTGTGTGTACGTACGCTGTCTGTGTGTGCGGTGTGTGTGTGTAGTTGTGTACGTACACTGTGTGTGTGGTGGTGTGTCTGGTTGTGTACGCACGCTGCGTGTGTGTGGTGTGTGTGGTTGTGTGGGGAGCGGTGGTGTAGCGGTTAGCGCGCTGCGCTATGAACCTGGCGACCCGGGTTCGATTCCCGCTCACGGCTAACACCAGTGACGATTATCTGAACCGGTCCTGGGCCTCCCCTAGGTCGACTCAGCCTTAAATGAGTACCTGGTGCGGTGTGTAAACATCGCCACTAGGGAGACAAAGGCGGTCGGGCGTGGTGCTGGCCACCCACCCCCTCGTGTACCGTTCCGGCCTTCATAGGTGCTCGCTAACAGCACTTGCCCCTACAGTCTGTTCAGGCTATACGGGGGATCTTTGTCTATCTTTGTGGTTGTGTGTACGCTGCGTGTGTGTGGTTGTGTGTGTGTGGTTGTGTGTGTGTGGTTGTGTACGTACACTGTGTGTGTGTGTGTGTGGTTGTGTGTGTGTACGTACGCTGCGTGTGTGTGGTGTGTGTGGTTGTGTGTGTGTGGTTGTGTACGTACGCTGCGTGTGTGCGTGAGAGAGACAGAGAGAGCGAGCTTGCTAGCCGGGGCTGTGTGCTGAGCGTAGCGGCTGCTGTAACAATAGCCGCAACAACAGCAGCAGCAGCGATGGCGGTTCATTGTCTTGCCCATCGCTGCCTCGGTTGCTTGCTGCTCATTTGCGTGGCTTACAACGCCGACTGCCAAGTCGCTGACGAGGTGAGCCACCCACCCACCCTCGTTGTCGTTGTGCGCGTGGGACGAGCTGATGATCATAACCAACCCTCCCTCCCCCCTCCTTTGTGAGCCACTACATTATCTGTATAATCCACCACTCCACCCCTTCCCACGCGGATGTGTGGTGGTGTTGGTGGTGGTGTTGTTATTATCGCGCGCGCGCCGGATGATTTTGTATTCGTATCGTTCCATATTGTCAAGCCTTGCTGTGCTCTGTGTGTGCATGGGATGCATGCGTGTGTACTGTATGTATGCTGGACTTCTTTCGCACCGTACGCAGTCAAGCGCGCTAAACTTGCTGCATTTTAGCCGCCCGGCGCTCCACACATACACGCAAAGATCCCCCGTATAGCCTGAACAGACTGTTGAGGAAAGTGTTGTTAGCGAGCACCTATGAAGGCCTGAACGGTGCACAAGTGGGTGGGTGGGTGGCCAGCACCACGCCCGACCGCCTTTGTCTCCCCAGTGGCGGTGTTTACACACCACACCAGGTACTCATTTGAGGCTGAGATGACCTAGGTGAGGCCCAGGACCGGTTCAAGATAATCGTCGCGCAGCGCGCTAACCGCTACACTACCGTTCCCCACAAATACATACACACAAATACATACACAGGTATATATACAAACAGACATCGATCGCACACATACATACATCTGATGGAACAAACTCATGAACATCTATTGCATAATGAGCACATTATTTTGTTGATGCTGCCTTCCGCTGAGTTAGCATTGGTCCACGATCACAAATAAACAATGTAATAATAATCTGAAGCACATTCACAATTAAACAATCTAATAATAAACGTAAGCACTTTCACAATTGAACAATGTAAAAATAAACTCAGCACATTCACAAATAATGTCAGAATAATTCTAAGCACGTTCACAAATAAACAATGTAACAATTCACTTCGGCACATTCAAAAATAAACAATCTAATAATAAACCTAAGCTCTTTCACAAATTAACAATCTAATAATAAACCTAAGCTCTTTCACAAATTAACAATGTAATAAGAAACCTAAGCACCTTCTTGGTTTTTTCGGTAAAGTCACGTAGAATGGAAATAATAAAATAATAAAAATCAAACATAATAAAATTATTCTCACGACGTTGGAGAACAGGTCTCGACAGACCTGTTCTCCACCTGAGGACGGCTGCTTGCGTTGTGGCCGAAACGTCGTGAGAATTATTTTATTGTTTTATTTTTATTATTTTATTATTTCCCTTCTACATGACTTTACCGAAAGAACCAAGAAGATGAATCCCTGCAGTCACGAAAGCTTTAAATCGAAAATTAAACCTAAGCACTTTCACAACTAAACAATCTAATAATGAACCTAAGCTCTTTCACAAATAAACAATCTGCAATAATAAACCACAACACATTTGCCTTAGGGGACTTTTCAAGCGACGGCCCGTATTCACATAAAGAAAAAAAAAACGATAGTAGACAACGTTTCGGGCAACGGCCCTTCTTTGAGGCGTTGCCTATTAACTACCGCGCGTGTCCTTGTACAATAATTTACGGAGCTGTTGACGAAAGCGTCCAGTTGTATTTGTGTTGTTGAATTTCGATTTAGAGCTTTCGTGACTGCAGGGATTCATCTTCTTGGTTCTTTCGGTAAAGTGACGTAGAAGGGAAATAATAAAATAATACAAATAAAACATAATACAATTATATATTATTATATTAGATAATATCTTATTATATTATTTTATTATGTTTTATTTTATTATTATATTATTTTATTATGTTTTATTTTTATTATTTTTTCATTTCCCTGCTACGTGACTTTACCGAAAGAACCAAGAAGATTTGTGTTGCTGATTGCGAGCGAATGCCGTGCGATCCGGAAGTGACGGCGCTGTCCAGGGTACTGACAACGCAATCCGCACGAGGCCCTCACACAGTCGCGTAAAAGAACCAAAGGGTCATTCCCGCAGTCACGAAAGCTACGAATCTAGCTAACACAAAGCCTCCTCTGCAGAGGTCGCAAACGGGTTTTTATTCCTTACCCGTACCCGTACCCGGCCGCACCAGGGTCGCAAATGGGTACCCGTACCCTACCCGAAATGAGTGACAAACGGTTACTCACCAGTGACTCACGGCCTACCCGTACCCGTACCCGGCCGCACCAGGGTCGCAAACGGCTACCCGTACCCGTACCCGGCCGGGTATCGGGTAGGATACGAGTATCGGGTACCCGGTTGTGACCTCTGCTCCTCTGTAGCCTCGCAGCCTCCCTCAAGCGATGCGCTCGAATGCCGGATTAAACTAGTTGCAGGGCCTGTAGCATATGATGTTATCAAGAAGCCCGAAATAGAAAAAAATACACGTAAATATTAAAACACACATTTTTTTACTTGCATAGCAAAGAAACTGTATTTTTCCGTTTGTCATACAGCCAGATAATACAACAAATCGCTCACCTTAAACACCCAGTCGTTCATAAAAGTTGAAGTCGGTATAGTACTATAGTGATAAAGCAAGTGCAGAATCACTGAACCGGAATTGATAGCTTGAAAGCATTTAGCGCGGGGCCCTTGAAAGTGCGGGGCCTGTAGCATTTGTAGCTACTTGTGCTACTAAGATAATGCGGCACTACACGCAAGTCAATGCTGATTTGAATACAACCCAACTACAATGCCACATTTGTGTTACCTATTAAATCCTTGGAGTCTTCAGACGTTTTTGTTTTAAGGAGGGGTTCTGCATTATGATGCTTGACGGGTGCCATGCATCAGAAGCGTTGTTTAAACTGGAAGAATCCGATGAACTATGGAGATATCTTTCACATATGTCCAACATGGACGGGTCAGAATGAATTGTTTCAATCCATCATCCCTCTGGGGGCCGATACAACGAGTACCACTTTGTGGTGAAGCCAACAGTGATTGTCATATGGGGCTCGCCCTCTCGCCATGGGAATGTGGAATTTCGAACAAGTAGCACAAAGGGGTGTAAACATGAAGCCAGCAGCAACACCGCATTGACTCGTGATGCTGCAATAGACAACGGGGTGATGTGGCATTTAAATACAAATAGAACGATTGATGAGGATTGACCATCAACCCCCACGGTGTGCGGAATTGATTCCAGGAATCATTTCTCATAGAGCTGCGTCCTCCAACGGACGTGTAATGACACTCTCACTCGATGTCACTCTCGCTAGCTGCTGCTAACTGCTGCAGCTGCAGCTGCTGTAGCTGCTGTTAACTGCTGCTGTTAACTGCTGCTGATAACTGCTGCTAACTGCTGCAGCAGCTGCTGGAGCTGCTGTTAACTGCTGCTGTTAACTGCTGCTGATAACTGCTGCTGCTGCAGCTCTAGCTGCTGCTAACTGCTGCTGTTAACTGCTGCTGATAACTGCTGCTGATAACTGCTGCTAACTGCTGCTGCTGCAGCTCTAGCTGCTGCTAACTGCTGCAGCTGTAGCTGCTGTAGCTGCTGCTAACTGCTGCAGCTGCAGCTCTAGCTGCTGCTAACTGCTGCAGCTGCAGCTCTAGCTGCTGCTAACTGCAGCTGTAGCTGCTGTAGCTGCTGCTAACTGCTGCAGCTGCAGCTCTAGCTGCTGCTAACTGCTGCAGCTGCAGCTCTAGCTGCTGCTAACTGCAGCTGTAGCTGCTGTAGCTGCTGCTAACTGCTGCAGCTGCAGCTCTAGCTGCTGCTAACTGCTGCTGCAGCTGCTGTAGCTGCTGCTAACTGCTGCAGCTGCAGCTCTAGCTGCTGCTAACTGCTGCAGCTGCAGCTCTAGCTGCTGCTAACTGCTGCTGCTGCAGCTCTAGCTGCTGTTAACTGCTGCTGTTAACTGCTGCTGTTAACTGCTGCTGATAACTGCTGCTAACTGCTGCTGCTGCAGCTCTAGCTGCTGCTAACTGCTGCTGTTAACTGCTGCTGATAACTGCTGCTGATAACTGCTGCTAACTGCTGCTGCAGTTGCTGTAGCTGCTGATAACTGCTGCTGTTAACTGCTGCTGTTAACTGCTGCTGTTAACTGCTGCTGCTAACTGCTGCAGCCGCAGCTGCTGTAGCTGCTGCTAACTGCTGCTGTTAACTGCTGCTGTTAACTGCTGCTGTTAACTGCTGCTGCAGCTGCTGTAGCTGCTGCTAACTGCTGCTGTTAACTGCTGCTGTTAACTGCTGCTGTTAACTGCTGCTGCAGCTACTGCTGCTAACTGCTGCTGTTAACTGCTACTGTTAACTGCTGCTGTTAACTGCTGCTGCAGCTACTGCTGTTAACTGCTGCTGTTAACTGATACTGTTAACTGCTGCTGCAGCTACTGCTGCTAACTGCTGCTGTTAACTGCTACTGCTAACTGCTGCAGCTGTTAATTGCTGCTGCTAACTGCTGCTGCTGATGTTAACTGCTGCTGCTAACTGCTGTTGATAACTACTGCTGCTAATTTCTGCTGCTAACTGCTGCTGCTGATGTTAACTGCTGCTGATAACTGCTGTTGATAACTACTGCTGTAGCTGCTGTTAACTGCTGATGGTAACTGCTGCTGTTAACTGCTGCTAGCTGCTGTAGCTTCTGCTAACTGCTGCTAACTTCTGCAGCTGCTGCTGCTGCTAACTGCTGCTATTAACTGCTGCTGATAACTGCTGCTGATAACTGCTGCTGTAGCTGCTGCTAACTGCTGATGGTAACTGCTGATGTTAACTGCTGCTAGCTGCTGTAGCTTCTGCTAACTGCTGCTGCTAACTGCTGCAGCTTCTGCTAACTGTTGCTGCTGCAGCTGCTGCTGCTGCTAACTGCTGCTGTTAACTGCTGCTAGCTGCTGTAGCTGCTGCTAACTGCTGCTGCTAACTGCTGCTGCTGCTAACTGCTGCTGTTAACTGCTGCTGCTGCTAACTGCTGCTGTTAACTGCTGCTGCTTGCTGCCACACGCCGCGTCGCCTGACCGTTTGACATTTCTCCTCAATGCGGCCGCCGCATAATTCAGCCCCACGACCAAGGCCTCCCCCCCCCGTCT